AGTCACAATCACATTTTCTATTTCTTCTTGATTATTTCTTATCATACTTCTTAAATCGATCAATTGCATTTACTAGTCTATTAATTTTATTAACAGCTCACTATTGTCATTTGTCAACAGATGTAGAATAATCAACAAACCGGTGTATTTTAGAACATTCTATCTCTGTCTGGTTTCTACTCTTGCACTTCTCCTTTCTGTGGAACCAGCAGCCTGTAAAACATATTTGTATTTTGCTAAGTTTTAGAAAATAGGGCGTCAGATCTTAAAAAAACTAAAAGTGACCACATAAGAAAAATTCTTGTAAACTACGGATTTAGAAAATACGCCATATTTATTTAGAAAAGATCATGTCATATTTTCTATGGGAACTAGTTTTTGACTATCAAATTCCTTGCCATTTTTGAAAATTTGGCAAACTTTAAAAAGTCTTTGCTTACCTATCCCTGGCCTAATATTATTAATACATAAATGTATTCCTTAAGAAGGAGAATAATTTAGAATAAGATATAAATAATATATAGCAAAAGTCATTGCTTGTAGCCATTATGGATCAGCATGTGAGGAGTTTCATGCAAATGTCTCTATTTATTTTACAATCTTTCTTAATAAACATGACATTCCTAGAACTTAAACCGTCAATTTATTTTAATTTCACTATGAGGCTTATCTTCGGCAAAATCGTCAAAGTAACTTTCGACGACCGCAGACCAATGCGAAATCAGGCATATTCTTCTGAAAAGATTCATTCATGAGTCTCTTTCTATGGCAAGTTCACACCAACTGAAAGTCTTTGTGACAACTAGGAGTTACTTTGAAATCCAATTACACTTCACATATTCAAATATGTTAGTGAAAGAAGAATGCAATATTTATTAATAAACATGACATTCTTAGAACTTAAATCGTTAATTTCCTTTAATTTCGCTATGAGCTTAATCCAATTTTAAATGTAATTAAAGTAAAATGAGACGAGATTTAAAATGCCTCTATAATTGAACTTAATAACAAAATATTAATCCATACAACAGCCTTACTCAAGTATCTCCATATGAAGTATTAAAACTTATCGTTAAAAGTAAAATAATTTCATATCAATCTATCTATTTATCTCTTTTACTATTTTATTTATTAGAGCTATTTTAAGAGTAAGATATGCAAGAAGGAGGCTCATCTTCGACAAAATCGTTTAGACGACCTCGGACTAATGCGGAATCAGGCATATTCTTCTGGAAAGATTCATTCATGAGTCTCTTCCTATGGCAAGTTCACACCAACTGAAAGTCTTAATGACAATTAGGAGTTACTATGAATTCCAGTTACATTTCACATATTCAAATATGTTAGTGAAATGAGAATGCAATATTTCGTAATAAACGTGACATTCTTAGAACTTAAACCGTTAATTTCGTTTAATTTAACTATGAACTTAATCTTATTTTAAATATAATTAAAGTAAAGTAAAACGAGATTTAAAATGCCTCTATCACTGACCTAAATAACAAAATACTCATCCATAAATCAGGCTTACTCAAATATGTCCATCGTTAAAATTAAAATAATTTTATATCAATCTATCTATTTATCTCTTTTACTTTTTTATTTATTAGAACTATTTTACGAGTCAGATACAGCTGTGATGTTTTTATATGCAAGAAGAAGGCTCATCTTCGACAAAATCGTCAAATTAACTTTCGACGGCGGCAAACTAATGCGGAATCAGGCATATCCTTCTGGAAAGATTCATTCATGTGTCTCTTCCTAGGGCTAGTTCACACCAACTGAAAGTCTTTGTGACAATTAGGTGTTACTTTGAACTCCAGTTACACTTCTTATATTTAGATATGTTAGTGAAACGAGAATGCATTTCATCTTTAGTTACAAATCCCATTTCTTTCCCACTGCAGACCTCAAACCGTAACATGCTACCGCTAATTCCTCCCTTCGTCACAGCAAACTTCTCATCTTGACTCATGCACTGCGACCGACCACCAGCCATATTCACCCCAGCTCTACACCATCCCATTATAGAACCTACCAGATTGAGAACCCGGTTCAGCCATCGAAAACTAATCATAATTCTTTATGTCTCTCAAAGTTACGTGAGAGGATGCCCGTTCCCCCTCGGCGTGGAAGCCAAAATAGAGTTGTCTAACTACCCAATCCTGCATATAAGATACTATGTTTGCTACCTAAGAGCAAAGCTTATTTCGCATTCTGCCTCTATGCATTGTCTAATCGTGCTGGTTATTTATTTTATCCGCAATTAACTGCATACTGTCTTGTTTTTTAGATTCCAACCAGACATTTATTACAACTCTCAAACGCTTTAACACATAAATCTACATCTTTTCTACCATGTACAACCTCTTCATCACATTCTTTCATCTTCTATCCTCCTAATCGGCTGGTAGTCAGAGGACAGAAAGATTTTTAGTTGTATTTAAATCACTTAGTCCACAATAAGAATGTATGTATATATTGTATGTATGTTGAAAGCAAAATGTTTTCATATAAGTCATAATCTTTGGTGAAAATTAGTGATTAGTAATGATGACTATGACACTTACGACATCTTTCAGGACTCTCATCCGATCCATCTGGACAGTCGATGTTACCATCACAGAATTTGGCTAGATGGATGCAATGACCACTATTGCAACGCCGGAAGCCAACGGGGCAAGCGTCATCCAAAAATACATATGCTCGTTTAGGCTCAGCACCCTGATAAAAATTAACTTTTTCATTTATGTATAGGAATTTAATGAAAATTATTTGTCCTAATAAATAGGTACTAAACAAATTGATAATAAATGATTCAAGTAACTTTTGAATTCAATGGAGTTGATACGCAGCAGTGATTAGATAAAAAGAATATTTGTAGTATCCAGCCAATTATTATTATTTACCAGGCAAACAACAGTCGTTTATATGATGTGTATAAATGGTAGACAAAGCTATTTTTCCATTATCGCTAACATTATCCATAATAAAGCTCGTTGGATTGAGTGACATGTTCTTCTAAAAAAGTCAACATTTTGAAAGCACTTAAGCTAGAAATTTCATCTTACCTGACTTTAAGGCTTTTAGGATACGACCATTAAGGTAAGTAATCCATAAAGGCTTGACAACAAGTAATTGTACAAAATATGGCTATAAACGCATTTATTTTTAAATCCTTTTAACACAAAATACACTTACTTTTATAAAAGACTTAAATTAAAATACTGCCTAAGTGACATTAAAAGTTAATTCACCCTAGTTCGCGAAAGCTTATTTAGAGATGGAGGGTTTACTTTTTCCACCAATGATGTATATAGGCTTTATTATGAAATTCCATATAGTCTTACCCTCTAAAATGATTCCATTTACAAGCTATGGGAAATCTGATGGTATCATGAATCCTAAACATTTCATAAAGTACAACTATTAGTCTGAAATATCCTGATCAATCTAGGGAGAATCAATTTTTTATTTAAAATTATTACAAATAATAGATTACAATAACAGAAGTTACTCACGGGGGCGTAGCATTCAACAATAGTTCCATTGCCACGGTGATCAATTCCTTCGAGGAAGCGTAAAGTCTCACGGCCAGGACCCTGTCTTATGACTCGCACAGACGGAGCCGCTGGAATTGTTCTGAAACTTGGTGCAATGCTTGGGTCACTGGAGATACAGGTTAACTCAAATGGCACACCGGGCCGGATTCTTTGGGTTGCAGGCGTTAATTGCAACTCAGCAGGCAACACTAATTCAGTAGGCAATGTACAGCATATTATATATCATCCACAAATCAAAAGAGAATGTGGCGTATTTATGGTCGTAAAATATGTAAGATATCCGAAGTGGTGCATATAATTTTTTAGGATGGGACATGAAGCCAGACGTGTTTGAATGGATAAAAATTAATAGAAATAAACCGTGTTTAAGAAACTTGTCGAAATAATCTATTAATAAATTTTTTAAAAATTAGCTGGTTTAGACAGATTTATCTTTATGTAAATCTAAGAAGTTACAATATTAAAGAAGTGATACATTGAATAAACTTAGGTCTGTTGAAGACCACTTGAAACCGTGAAATTCTGTTTTCTAGAAATGAAAATAACTCGGATTTTGGTTATTTGCTTAAGCTTTAAATCATAGTTGCGGTGCTTAATTATATAATATACGTATATTAAATAAATAATGCAATTACAGATTTTGACTTTTGCCTAATTTGTACTAATCTAATTAAATTAATACAAAGTGATAAACTTTCGCTAATCTCTCTCCTGATAAAGACAATATTTGTCGCTCATAATAATAAAATATCTTTTTGCATAGCTTATTATAGAAGATATTAATAAATAAATAAATAAATATATATATATATATATATGTGTGTATGTATGTTAAAAGAATACATTTTTCAATATAAAGATAATTTTAATAATTGGATTTCCTTTTATTTAACTAAATTTTGCTTGGAGTAATAGCAAATTAT